GACCAATATTTGTATTAGTTATTTTAAAATCAATAAAAATTATAGTGTTTCAAAATGTTAAAATCGAGTAAACATTAATATAAAAAAATTCATTCCGCGCATGGGGGTATCATCTAATTCACTTATATTTTGGGTGAATTATAAGTGAAGCTTTCAGCCGTTACCATGGAGAGTGGAACTGTGGAAGGGCTATTGAATGCAGGACAATGTACGAGTGCTTGTAAATCACGTGAATGCTATCTTCATTGTGGCTTAAGAATGCGAGACTAAGTCGTTACACATCCGTGAGCCGAGAGAAGGTGAGATCTATATCGTACGTGATTCTTTAGAATCTGACTGGTTCAAACGCAGATGTTATGGTTGCAGTTGCAGGAGTTTGCGAATGCGAATAACTAAGGGTTTTTTGTGGTTTTAAGAAATTTATATAATTGGTACTGCGATTAGAAATTGGTATATTTATGGAATATTTATGACAAATTAACTACCAATTGCAGTAGCGGTTAAAATATAAATTAACAATATTTACATTTTATATAATCTTAAAAAAATACCAAAATCATAATATTATAATAAATATAAAATTATACTTATAAAGTTATAGTTTTAAAATTTTAAATTATTAAAAATATTTTATTTTTTTTAATAATATTAATTAAAATATAATAGATATATTTTTAGTATTTTTATAATTCCAATTTAAAAATTTTATTGAGGTTCTTATATTGTATTTATAAAAAGAAAGAAAAAATCATCCTCTCGCAACCCCTCGCAATCGCAAACGATAGTTGAAATCAGTTTTTGAATTTAAGAAGTTTCGAACAGTTTGAAATAGTTCAAAATGGTGTGAATAATTGTTGCAAAATGCCAACAACTACTATTAACCGAAAAAGCTATGTTTGCGGGTGATAGCGGGAAACAAATCGTGTTCTTACTCACAACTGAGCTGGCGATCTGTACGTTTGGGCTTGCATGTGGATTATGGGCCAACCTGTGAAACCAATTTATAGCTTGAAATCCACTTACTTACTACGGTTGAATTATTAGGCCAACTATATAAACCTCCCAATTTATGCATACAAACGAATAGATCAAGACTAATATTTGGATGAGGATGACATGTCACGAGGAGATTACTTCAACTGTTGTGGTGTCTCTAATAAGAGAGAAAACTATAGTCCCTTATATATTAGTTAAGAATTATTACAACATTATTTTGTAGCTATTACCAAAATAAAATTCAAAATTATTAGAAACACAAATCGGTCCATCTTAACTTAAATTATATTTTTTATTAAATCAACTATCTAACTGATAAATAATGTACACAATAAAATTTTTACATTTTACTTAAATAAAAACTACGGAGTTACATAATAAGATTAACGTATATATGTCAATTAATGATTATGAATAATAAATATTTGATAACAACTTTTGTAACTTAGTTTTTTTGTTTAATTTTATATTATTAAAATATATTAAATAATCATATTACCTTATAATAAAATATATTTTTTCTTATATATTATATTTTGAATTTTTAAAATGAGTATAAATGACTAAAAATGTTAAATGTCTCATACTAAAATTTTGTAAACAATTGTTTAACTTTTTGTAATAAAAAAATAAAAATGATCATAAATGTATGAATATAAAATCTCATTTAATAGACATTCATATAGTTTAAACTATATAACATATAAATATATAAGTATGTTAATTTCTAAATTTGTATTGAAGAAGTATTAAAATCTTAAAGTTTTAATTCTGAAATTTGCATTGAGAAAAATCGCACACTAAAATTTTTATTATTATCATATGAGTATGAGTTTTCAATAATAAATAATTATATTAATATATACTATATATCCATGTCTATGTGTCATTGAAATTTATTTATATACAAAATTAAATAAATAACTAAAATAAATAAGAGGTATTCTTTTGATTTATATGTTTATTTTAATTTAATTTTATATATAATACGTAAATAAACACAAATAAATAATAATAGATTAAAATTATTTTTATATATGAAGTTTATCTGCGTATCTTAACCTAGTTTATTAGTAAAGATATAAATATAAAAGTTCCTACTAATCAAATTTACATATAAAAATGTGGATGCTGTTACCTTAATTAATCCTTTATATATTAATTATGGAGCATTAAAACAGATTTTGGAGATGTCAACAAAAAAAAAAAATTTTGGTAGCCACATGTTATCACTACGTCGATTCTTAAAATCCTTAGAAAAATAAGTTGGTCAATTAGTATATAAAAGGATATTCTCCATTATATCTTTAAATAAAAGTTATGGAATTTCCTAATATGGTTAACAAATATATGACAATTAATGATTTTGAGTAATAAAAATTTGATAAAAAATTTATCTTCCATCAATTTTTAAATTTTCTATTCTTAAAATAAATTAAAACAGTCATATTAATAATATAATAAAAATTTAGATTTTTTCTTATATGATATATTTTAATTTTTTAAAACGATTATAAATTACTAAAACTGTTAGAAGTAAACATTGAAATTTTTGTTATCAGTGATTTAACTTTTTGTTATAACAAAATACAAATGATCATAAACACATATAAATATGAAATATCTTTAATATATATTTAGAGCATATATATATATATATATATATAATACATAAGCATGTTAATTTCAAAATTTTCTTTGAGTAGGAAGAATTGGTTAATAAATATTCATATAAATAAAAATAATATTTGTTACAGTAAATATAAAAATGTGTTAAATTATATGAGTGCGAATTTCAGTTAATAAATATTCATATTAAAATATATTATATAATTTTGTTAATATCATTTTAGTTTCATTATATACCATATAAAATAATTCTTGTAATTTTTTACCAACAAAAAAGTATTGTAATTACAAAGAGGAATGATTTTTATTTATATGTTTACTCCAGTTTAACTATATACGTAATAGTCACCGCTTCTCAATTATTCAATATACTTTGACTGCATAATACATAAATGAATATAAAATAAATAATAATATGTATACATAATTAATATTTATTCCGTGCAAGCGAAGCTTTCAAAAGTTATTTATTATTTCAAAATACAATTTTTCATATCAAAGTGTAATGATAAATTTTAACATCCGGATGATATTATTGAAACCTAATGTAAATAGGTTTTAAAGAAAATCAAAAATATCAACAAACAATATTCTATTCATCAAATTTTTATTGATGATCAAAGTTATGACATAATGGTTAAACGATCAAAATTAATATTCAATAATTATTAATATATAAATTTTACTCATGTTATGCGAATTATCACCTAGTAATATAATAAGTGATGATGATGACATCTACTTTTCTTTCCTCGGAGTTGATCTATATCTGAAACTAGGGTGTTCAACCCATTAAATTGAACCAATCAAAACCAAACCAAACTAAAATAAATAAAAAGTGATTTTGATTTGGTAATATCAAATATACCGAATATATACTGTTTTTGAAAAGCCGTGCTATATAAATATAATTTGATATATAAACTGATTATATCATTTTACCGAATAAACAGACTAACTAATTACAATAGTAGAATTATATGTAGATTATATGATATAATTGATAATATATACATAGTTTATCTTATTAATATGTTTTTATATTTAAAATGTCGTCATTTGTATTTTGTTAGATTGTTTTGAGTTAAAAGTTATTTTTTAATTCAAATTAACATTCAAATATGTGTGCTAATATTTAGGTATTTAATAATATTAGCGTATTACTATTTTTATTTTTAGAGTAGAAAAATTATTATTATTAACCTAATATGTTTAGTAGTTATTTTAAAAATTAGAATAAATATAAAAATATTATATTCTAAAATTGAAATATCTTTATGTTTAATAAAATCGATATTTAATCATATAAAATAAAATGTTAAAAATGTTAAAAAATATAAATATATTTATAAATGTTGGTATAAAAGCAAATAAACCAAAAACCAACAATATATAAATTAAACCAAACCAAAATAAATATAATTTTAATATGATAGCTAATTTTTATAAATTAAAATACCCAAAAAACCGAATCGAACTCCAGATGAATACCCTATCTAGAACTCCTTTTAACTAATCATAATGCCGCACTTTAACCAGTTATTATTATTTTCTTTGTGATTGAATAATTCGACTACAATATTTACCCAAAAAACTATTTAGATTACATGTCATATTTACTCTTATTAGCAAATAAAGAAAAACTGAGAAAATATATTTACTCTCCTTTTCTGGCAGAAAAATGTATCTTCAGTACTTTGATATAGGAAGATAAAATCTATAGGTTTTTTACCTAACTCCCAAACATTTTAACATTAGTACATGAGCATATAACTTGTTTTTTTGTCATCAAGCATATAACTCTTTGAAAATGTAAAACATTAACTTTTAGATAATAAATAATAAGAAAGAGAAATAAAGAAACCGAAAAAAGAACTTTTGTTATCAACCTTTTATAGGAACAGTAATTGCGACAACAGCTGGCTTCGAGCGGAATTATTGGGAAAGTCAAAACCCAAATAAAAACGAAAAAATCTTTCAAATTAATTAAAACAAGATTTTCTGTTCATCTTTTGTTTGTACTGTATCACTCCTATTACTTTTAGGTTTTTTTAAGGTTTGTATGACTACTGAAGGAGTGTCACAGTCTCTACAAATTTAATCTTCTTTCTTCTCTCAAATTTTGTTTTAAACAAATCACTTTTGCTCTGTTAGAATTTAAGGATTGGTGTTTTTAGTAATAATGATTTGAGAAGAGAGAGAAGAGAGAGAAAGAGAGACAGAGGGGTGCTTTAATGTCTGTGGAACTGTATTTGGATCCATATACACAGAGTCACACCAGTTTTGATATCTGTCTCTGTCTTCTCCAAACATCGAATAATTGTCTCTAGGGTAGCGATAATACTATAATGTATGAGTGTTGTTGACAACAAGCAATGGTTGATCATCATCGAAGAAGAAGCGCTTTGTTCTTGTTCTGTTTGTTACTGTTCCATTGTGTTGCCATTGCGAAACCACGCACTCAATTCAACGAATGGCTCACTCTAGTTCGTCTCAGGTCTTCTCTTGGACTCAAAGGAACAGACTGGCCAATCAAAGGCGATCCTTGCAACGTCTGGAGAGGGATACAATGTGATGACAACGGAAGTATCATCGGGATCAACATCTCAGGTTTCAAAAGGACAAGACTCGGTAAGCAAAACCCACGTTTCGCTGTTGATCCGCTCGTTAATCTCACTCGCTTAGAGTATTTCAACGCGTCTGGATTGTCATTACCTGGTTCTGTTCCTGATTGGTTCGGTGTTAGCTTCTCCACGACACTGCGTGTCTTAGATCTTAGTTCTTGTTCCGTGACTGGTGTTGTCCCCGTGACTCTCGGGAACCTCACTAGCTTGATGAGTTTGAACCTGTCTCGTAACAGTCTTACCGGTTCGGTTCCAAACAGTTTAGGACAGTTGCTGAATCTGACGGTTCTTGATGTTTCTTCTAATTACCTCACGGGTCCGATCCCTCCTAGTGTTGGGATGCTATCGAAGCTTCTGTATCTGAATCTCTCAAGCAATAGCTTCTCGTCTTTGATTCCTCCTCAGCTTGGAGATCTAATCAATCTTGTTGACCTTGATCTCAGCATCAACTCGTTGTCTGGTTCAGTTCCTAAGGAGTTTAGAAAGTTGACTAATCTGGAAAACATGGTGATTAGTGATAACCTCTTGAGTGGAGCTTTACCAGATGGTTTGTTCAGTGCTAACAGCCAACTTCAGAGCTTAGTTCTGAGAGAGAATGGGTTCTCAGGTACCCTCCCTGATGAGTATTGGTATTTGCCTAAGTTACGCCTTCTCGACATTGCTAAGAACAACGTCACAGGAATGTTACCAAACTCTAGTTCTGGTCCAAACCAGGTCAATGCAGTGGTCGATATCTCTTGGAACAAGTTCTACGGGGAGCTCACAGAGATTCTTACTAGGTTCAGTACCGTGGATCTCTCTGGTAACTACTTTGAAGGTAAGGTTCCAGATTATATCCTTAGAGAAAACGCATCTCTTACTAGAAACTGTCTTCAAAATGAGAAGAGACAGAAGTCTTTAGAAGTTTGTTCAAAGTTCTACACAGCTAAAGGATTAGACTTTGATGATTTCGGACGTTCCAATACTACTTCGGAGAAGGCTTCTTCAGGGTTAAGCCACAGGACTGTTATTATATTAGCATCAGTTGGTGGAGGAATTGGTTTTATTCTTATTTTCATTCTCTTGCCTATTCTTGTGGCTCTATGCATACGTCGAAGAGGGAGCAATGAGAGGCCTAAACCTGTAGCTGAACTTTCTCAGCCACCTAAAGAAAGACAGAGTTTTGATTTGTCACGTCTTGGGAACGCGTTTACTTATGAGCAGCTTCTCCAAGCAACTGAGGAGTTCAATGACGCCAATCTGATAAAACGTGGCCATTCAGGGAGTTTGTTCCGTGGTTCATTGGATGATGGAACATCCATTGTTATTAAAAAGATCGATACCAAGGAAAGTAAAAACGAAGGGTATGTATCAGAGCTTGAGTTGTTTAGTAAAGGTGGACACCAGAGGCTGGTTTCATTTCTTGGACATTGTTTGGAGAATGAGAGCCAGAAGGTGTTGTTGGTGTACAAGTATATGAGGAACGGAGATTTGGGTAGCGCTTTGTTTAGGAAGTCAGACGATGAAGGTGAGGATGGATTGAAGTCTTTGGATTGGATAACGAGGTTGAAGATTGCTCTTGGTGCAGCTGAGGGACTAGCTTATTTACATCACGAGTGCTCACCACCTCTAGTTCATAGGTACTACTATCTCCTGCGCAACTGGTTCTGTTGAAAGCATGGTTCTAAAAATCGGTCTAGGCAGTGTCTAATTTCTTGTGTTTTTATTTTATGTCCAGTTTTAATAATTCATCAAAATTCTTGCATGTTCATTGGAAGTGAGATTTATTTATGGATTGTTAGTGTTAGCTGAAAGGAACCCATTGACTACTTGTTGCTCTAAGTAAACAAAAAATCGAGAGTACTCATGTGTGTGTGTTTGTTAAATGTTATATAGGGATGTACAAGCAAGTAGCATACTTCTTGATGATAAATTTGAGGTACGTCTTGGAAGCCTAAGCGAGGCATATGCACAAGGTGATGCTTATCAAAGCAGGATTTCTCGTTTACTTCGGTTACCACAGTAAGTGCTCATTACACTAACCAGACTCTGTACGCACAACAACATTTTAGAAAGCACTTTCAAGTTTTACTACTGGTTCTATTCTCCCTCTTGCAGATCGACTGAACCATCCTCTTCAGGTGCAGCAAATGCGACATGCGCCTATGATGTCTACTGTTTTGGCAAAGTGTTACTTGAGCTAGTCACGGGGAAGCTCGGGATCAGCTCGCCAGACAACGCAGAAGCAAAAGCATACATGGAGGAAGCTTTGAAATACATCAGCACAAACGAGAAGGAACTAGTGACCAAGATCTTAGACCCGTCGTTAGTGGTGGACGAGGACCTTTTAGAAGAAGTATGGGCAATGGCTATCATCGCAAAGTCATGCCTAAACCCAAAACCAAGGAGACGGCCATTGATGAGACACATTGTGAACGCTCTTGAGAATCCACTGAAAGTAGTGAGAGAGGATACCAACTCGGGCTCAGGCTCGTTGAGAACAAACTCGTCAAGAGGGTCTTGGAACGCTGCTATATTTGGGAGCTGGAGGAAGAGTGCATCGGATGTAACAGCTGTTCAAGCTGGAGGAACAAGTGGTGGTGCTAACTCGGGGTCGCAAGGGAGCAGTGGAAGGAATAATAACAATGGGAACTCATCGTCGAGAAGAAGGCAGTCTAGTGAGATAGTGCCAGAACCTTATGGGGAAGATGTATAAGTGTTCTGGTGAGAGCGTTAGAGGGTTAGAGGATAACATTTTATGATTCTTTGTGTTGATAATAACCAGAGGCAAAGAGAGTCCTTTCAGGTAGCAGTATGTTAGAAGGGGAGGATTCGTTTTTTCTTTAGATTATAGTTTTTCTTCATCTCTTTTGTTCTGTCTTTTTCTTTTTCTTTTTATTTTGGAAATTTAATTCTTGGAAATTGGGTTTTTCTCGGTTTCTCAGTTATTTAAAGGCCGGGAAGGAGGGATTTGTTCACTTTTTTAGTGCATCTGATTTATTATTGAAAGAGTGAATTAGAATGAATTAGAATGACCGTTAACTATTTGATTTGCACGTGGGGAAGCTTAAGCAAGTCGGACAAAAAGACAAAAATGAGGTTCTACCGAGAATTGAACTCGGGTTACTGGATTCAGAGTCCAATGTCCTAACCGCTAGACCATAGAACCTTGTTGTTATTGCCTACCGCTTCATTTCTAATTATTAACAAATTGTCTATGAGAAACGATCACCTCTCCACTCCTTTCGAAAAATGATTTTCCAAAATATTCACGCATATTTAAAAAGGTAAATTTGTGCTATATTTATAGAAGATGATGAAATAAAAAATATAGTCATAACAAAATTAATGTGACAATTTATATCAACACTGGATTTTTTTTTCTCTTTGCATTGATAATTTTAGATTTCAGACCCAGTCCAATTTATTTATATATTATTTCATTCTAGAGTAGGTTTTTTATTTTAATTTTATTGTTATCTTCTTTTTTTACCTTTAAGTATTGTTCCCCAGATTAAGAAAAAAGAGAAAAAAAAACTATAAATGATTCATGATTGGAAGATGTATTTCTACAATAAAAAAATCGCTTTAAAAGAAAAGATAACTAACCATGATTCTGTGGAAATTATAAAACTGATATTTTCTTCACCAATGTGATTTTTTGATGTAGACTATTAGAGGGAAGTATAAATTATTAGGGACAAAATTCTCAAAGCGGTACTTAAAAAATATCCTAAGTTATATAAGATAGATAGGTTACTTCATTTATCACCAATTAATTTTAGGTTGGAAACACATTTAGCTTAACATAACTAGTTATATTTTAGGTATCAAAGTTTAGACAAATACATGTTGTTGGTTGCAGAGCTCAAGAAGAGAAGAAATTCATAGTTGACTGAGGTCTAAGCTAATGTAAGGAACGATTAGATTATCATAAAATTATATATACATATATATATATATATATATATAATTATTAACTGGACTTCTCTTGGAGATAGAAACTTTTGGGAGCTACAGCCGCAAAGGACTGATAGTTGGATTTGGAAGAGTTTGTGCAATCTAAGGCATTTAGCGCGTCCTATGGTAGTTTGTGAGGTGGGTTGTGGCATAACAGCGAGATTTTGGCACGATAACTGGACTTCTCTTGGTCCTTTAATTGATCTGACGGGTCCTAGAGGTCCAGCTGTCACTGGTCTTCATGTGGATGTGGTTGTCTCAGAAGCGTTGAGAGAAGGGGATTGGTGGATTAACAGAAGTCGTAGCAGGAACATGCTTATCTCTCTAATTCGAGAGTGTCTTCCAGATGCTGCTCCTATTTGTTCCTCAGAAACAGATGATACCTATTTGTGGAAACCGGGTAACAGAACACCTTTGTGTCATTTTTTCGCTGCTGATACTTGGACGGCTTTACATCCGCAAGGGGAGGTCGTTTCTTGGCATCGTCAAGTTTTGTTCCAAGGGAGGATACCGAAACATGCTTTTATCACTTGGTTGCTTGCTAGAAACCGCCTGGGCACAAGAGATAGATTGAGAGGATGGGGCTCGAAGTAACTCCAGATTGCATTCTATGTAACTCGGATGATGAGTCAAGACAACACCTTTTCTTTGATTGTAGCTTCAGTGCGGAGGTGTGGTCTTTCTTTTGCTCTAGACTTAACTTAAATCCTTCTGGTTTGTTTGAAGATAGACTAAGATGGTTGAGAGTTCCATCTTCAGATGAGTTTATGAAGTTAATAGTGAAGCTGGTATATCAAGTATCTATTTATAGCATTTGGAAAGAGAGGAATACAAGAATTCACTCTCAGGTTTATAGATCAGCTCAGGCGGAGATCATGGAGATTAAGCAAACTGTTCAGGCGCGTCTAGATCCTCTGTCAAGAGCTAGCAACTCTAGAAGGACAGAGACTACCTTACTTGGGACTTGGATGAGTAGATTTTAGCTGCAGGTTTTTGAAGTGTTGATGGAAGCTTTTTTGGAGTAGTTAGCATGCTTGTATAAAGGTTTAGGAGTCCTTATATTACCCGGCTGTGGGTATTAAGAGGTAATGTTTGCATTGTCTTTTCTTTTATAAATAAATAAAAATAAGGTTTGATAAAAAAAAAATATATATATATATATATATATAATCATTAAAAATTTACTATTAACTAAATATAATAATGAAAAAATCGCTTCTTTCATATTAGTTTTTGATTACCTAATTTGGCGTTAGGCCTACGGTGTTACACTTAACGCAATTTCATACAAGACTATGGTTTATGATAAAAGACAGGGAGTCCAGGCAAAGCCGTCAGCACGTGCTCGTAAACTCAGCACATGTGAGCTGTGGGATTCTGTGAAAAAACTGATACTCTCATTCACATTTTGTCTGATTAACTACTTAATTAGCCGACAAAAAACTAATTAAATAATGAGATAAATTCAATATTTGCGTGGAATAATTAAGCAAACCACTTGCTAAACAACGTATAAAAACAAAGCAAATACATAGGTAGTAGCATTTGGGCTTAGTTTTTAAACTTTTGAATTTACGGTTTAGCATTTGGATTTGGGATTCTGAAAGCTTTCTATCATTCTTAATTATTTAGTGAACGAACTAATCATTTATATATGGAACAATTAAGAAAAAGATTCAAAATATTACATTTTTAAAATTATATTTTTGGGTCTACTCTGTAGAGTTCAAGTTCTTTGAAGGTTGAATATTTAATGATTTCTGTTCAATTATATCGTGTTTGTATTGTTTCTCCTAACAGCTAATTACCAACCCTCCTCATAATTAGTCTCTACAAATTTCAAAAATATCACTTGCTGCTCCACATTCATCTGCTTTCATGGCTCTCTCCATCTTCCTCTCTCTCCTCCTCCTCTTTCTCTTCTCCATCTCGCCGGCAAATGCACAGTCCTTTATCGGAGTAAACTACGGTTTACTCGCCGACAACCTCCCGTCACCGTCTGATACAGCCAAGCTCCTCCAGTCAACCTCCATTCAAAAAGTGAGGCTATACGGCGCCGACCCCACCATCATCAAGTCCTTAGCCGGAACCGGCGTCGGAATCGTCATCGGAGTAGCCAACGGCGACATTCCATCCCTCGCCTCCGATCTCAACTTCGCTTCTCAATGGATCAGTACCAACGTCCTCCCTTTCTATCCCGCCTCCAACATCATCCTCATCAATGTCGGAAACGAGGTCAGTCACACAGCTTCGGTTATAAAAAAAAAGAAAAGAAAATTAATCTCTTCCGGTTTGATGCAGATTCTGTTGTCGAATGATCTGAACTTGGTAAACCAGCTTCTTCCGGCGATGCAAAATGTCCAAAAGGCCCTTGAGGCGGTTTCACTCGGCGGGAAAATCAAGGTTTCCACGGTTCACGCCATGACGGTGCTGGGTCAATCTGACCCACCATCGGCTGGTTCGTTTGCTCCCGGTTATCAGGCCGGTTTAAAGGGCATCTTACAGTTTCTTAGCGAAACCGGATCGCCTTTTGTCATCAACCCGTACCCGTTCTTTGCGTATCTGGGTGACCAGAGACCTGAAACACTGTCGTTTTGCCTCTTCCAGCCTAACCCTGGACGTGTCGACTCCAATACAGGAATCAAGTACATGAACATGTTCGATGCTCAGGTAAATTATTAGTTACCGTTAGGTCCCACGTGTCTGGTCATTAGAAAATTATTTCATGAGGAATATGAACTAATATGATTTAAAACAAGTTTATAACATGAGTTTGGTATATAAACACTTCACTAAACTTTCTTCTCCAAACTGCAAAGTAGCTAAGTCTTTGGTTTTGAATTTGGTGGACTAGATACAACTTATATCTAATCTAAGGACCCAGCTGAAACTTCATGGTATACAGAATTACTGATTATTTAATAAAATTAACAGCAAAGCATATTCGTATTTTATCTCAGTCTTATGGTATGGTTCGTTCATTTATTATATAATATGTACTTACACCGAGATCTACAACTATTTATTGCAATAATATAATGATTGTTAAACATGTGAAAAGTTGGTAGTTGAACATTGGGAGTCCAAATATATAATATATATTCGCAATAGATTTTGTAGCAAGGAACTTGGTCTTTCTTTACATTTCCACTTGCGATAGAATCAAAGAAGGCTTTTTGCTTGCCGCACACTTTAACGTGGGGTTTTCTTAGGTTGACGCGGTTCACTCAGCTTTGAAATCGATGGGATTCGAGAACGTGGAAGTAGTGGTGGCTGAAACAGGCTGGCCAACGAGCGGTGATAGCAACGTGGTTGGTCCGAGTGTTGAGAACGCAAAGACTTATAATGGGAACCTCATTGCTCACTTAAAGTCTATGGCTGGGACTCCCTTAAGGCCTGGCAAACCCATCGACACTTATATTTTCGCCCTCTTTGACGAGAATCTCAAGCCTGGCCCTTCCTTTGAGCGTTATTTTGGCCTTTTCAAGCCTGATCTTTCCATGGCCTACGACATTGGCCTCACTAAAACTAGTAGTAGTAGTGGTAGCCAGGTAATTGATACCATGATCAATTAGTATTGATTTAGTTTCAAAGGTATTTAATTAGCCATTTGTAATGGATCAAAGCTTGTAACACAATGGTTTATATAGTTATTTCACTAAAATTTCACCCTTGTGGATTAAATCCGGCATAATGCATGTTGAAGAAATTGTTTTTTTTAGCGATTTACTGAATGATGCGTGTGATGATAGTAGACGTCACAGTCTCCACCGTTGGGCAAATCAGCAACATCGGTGGGATGGTGTGTGCCAAAGGAGGATGCGACCGAAGAGCAATTGCAAGCAAGTCTAGATTGGGTTTGTGGACAGGGGATTGATTGTGGTCCGATAACACCTGGAGGGGTGTGTTTTGAGCCTAACAATGTCATGTCTCATGCAGCCTATGCCATGAACTTGTATTTCCAAAAATCTCCTGAAAACCCTACGGATTGCGATTTCTCTCAAACTGCAAGGATTACGTCCGATAACCCTAGTAAGTTTTTCTCCTTATCTTTCCCATCATCATCATCATTATTGTTGGGGATCACGAACTTCTTAATATTCTAATTCATTTTTCCAATTACAGAGTACCCCATGCTTTATATACTAGTGTTAAAGTCTTTACACCATTTTGTTGTGAGAAACGAACAATCATATTTTTGCATTTAGTGGAAACAAATCTTAGTAAGAGGTTGTTACTGTTTCTAAAACCAATAATCCTAAACCATAAATCACGTCATATCAAACCTACCAACTTTCATCATTGATAGGTGGATTAGCATATTGTCTAGGATGATATTTTTTGCATTTTTAATTATATATCTAGCTTGTGTTCCTCCTATACTTTTGTTTAGGTAGATGTTAGATAGAAATACGATATATATTTGTCTACCATTTTCTTATTATTTGTTTGTATACGTTATTAAGAGTGTGACTTGCAGAGGTTACTCATCTCTAGTTTCTAAAATTTAACTCAAAATGATACAAAATATCTGTTACATTTTTTAACACACACACTGACACTTTCTCTTTATTTTCGCTTTCCTGATTTTAGGTTATAACAATTGCGTGTACCCAAGAGCCGGATCGGCTGGAGATGAAAGCCTAGGAGGAGTGATGAATAAAAATGTGGCTTCAGACAAAGCAATAGAGTCGAATGGATCCGAATACTCCTTTTCTCTGTCTTTGCATCACTTTATGAGCATTTTTTCCTTTGTTCTTTCAATTTTCCACCATGTGAATTTTTAGTTGCTGCCTTATTCATTACTCTTTGTTCCTAACGTTTTTGACCTTTTTCCGTCTAATCATTTTGTTTTTCTTTTGTCCATTAATCATAAGCACTGTTTATTAAAAAAACCAGGCGCATTATTCTTATAGTAGAGCATGATACTTGATACCCATTTATCTTTTCAAAAGCAGATTCTAAAGGTGAAAGCAATGTGGTGATTTTTTCAAAAGGAATATGTTCCTTTCAAATTTCTTTCGTATCTCAAAACATAACGTGTGCAAATGTTTTCAACGATTTATATATAGAGATTCTTATATATGCCTGTGTAATCTTCCAATACAAGAAAAATTAAAGTAGGCATTGAAAGAGAGATGGGTTGGTTAGTTAAGGAAAGAAGAGGAGGTGCATGGAAGCGAGGATGGTTAGAGGAAACACTTTTCACGTCATCAGCACCTCCTCTTACACTGCTTACTCTCTTTGCTATCATATCTCTGCTCCTCTTTGTCTCCTCCTACCCACGTTACAGGTACGAGGTTGAGAAAACAACCATGAATCTCAAGCTCTTTCTATTATTCCTCCCAATTCTTTTTGTCTTTCTGCTAGTCTCTCTGCAGTTCGTCCATCGAATTCTCTTCAGATCCTCTTACTACGTCAGAGCAAACCAGGCCGCGTCCGTTTTTGAAGAAGGCCACTTTCCCTGGGGAATCTTGCTTATGCTAGTTCTTATACTTCTTTTGGTTTCTAAACAGTCTTATTTTCACTCCTTATGGTACCCGACCTTGTGATTCCATAGTTTTTATTATTTTGTACGGCTTGAAGAATGATAATGTTAAAAGTCTTAAGAAAATATTTTGTACGGCTGAAGAATATTCTTACATATATATGTTTTGTTGGCAAATAAACCTATATATACGTTTTGTTGTCGAGCTGTGTACATCAGAAACGTCCTTTTCAATTCTCATATCCCTCATCTTATTTCCATCCCTAACGACATATCATTTACACCATGGATCCAAACAACAATCCAAACGATCATATCAACCTTGATCTGTCCTTGGGGACTGGTCCTCAAGGAAAAGATCCAGTCGAGCAACATGGCACGTTCATGCAACTCTTGAGGTCAGTGAATGATCCTACACAAAATTTACAGACTTCTCCTCCTCCACATCATCATGTACCTCCTAGATACTACAACCACACATACCCTCAGAATGTCTCTGTCTCCGATCTGGCCGCTGTTCCATCTCCACCACTGGGGGTGGCTCTTCCACCGTCTCCATCCCCATATCTAGGAGGGCAACTCCTTCAGCCAGGAGTTGGGGCCTTGGAGACTCCCCGGCCAGGAACTAGGTTAGGTCGTCCACCCAGTGGGCATCATGCACGTCGCAATTCATCAAAAGCAAGTGGCACGGTTGAAAAGAAACTTGATGACAAGGAGATCGTACCACCGTATCCATGGGCGACCACAAGGCCAGCCCGAATTCAGAACCTTAGATATTTGTATTGCAATCATATAAACTTGATCTTTGGACAAGTCCATTGCAAGCCTTGCGAGAGTACTCAAACCATACAGTATAATCTCCGGGAGAAGTTTGGGGAATTGTACCGTTACATTAACGACAACAAGGAGGTGATGCGTCAACGAGCCCAGAAAGTTTGGTCGAGTCCTAAACTGACTCCATGCGGCTCATGCAAGAACGGGATGAAGCCGGTGATTGGCGAGAATAAGGAAGAAATCAACTGGTTGTTTCTTTTGTTGGGGCAAATGTTGGGATGTTGTACTCTGGATCAGCTCAGGTACTTTTGTGATAAAACGAGTCAACACAGAACCGGTGCAAAGGATCGTGTACTCTACATAACTTACATTGGTCTATGCAAGCAGCTCGAGCCATGCGAGTTATTTAACCTATGACTCTTATCGGAATCTGGCAGGGCTGATCAGTAGCGTTTGAGGTTTGTTTTGTTTTTTCATAGTGCGTCTAATTTAGGGGTTTTTAGGATTGCATAAGTTGTTCTCTTGTATTCTTTTGGTAATAATATTATGTGGAAACAAAAAGAAGAAGACAAAATCATCCTGATAGACTTCAAATTTATGCGTAATATCATGCTTTATTAAAGTTTCATTGATTAAACGATAAGTACTAAAACTGATTGGTTTTAGAAACGATGGACGCCAAATTAGTTACTCCAACTTTTAACTTTTTAAAGTCGGTCAAACGTATTTTAATTTACTATTTTAAAATCAAATGTGTATTTCTAAAAAAAAAAAACAAAATGTATATTTCTAAAAGTGGACGTATCAACAAAAGAAAAAGTGGCATGTGGATTTTATTTATTTTAAATCTAACATCTTAATGGAATTTACAATTTTGTTTTTGAACTATAATCGTCAATTTTGTCGACTTCCCTGCGGTGGCCAGTCATGCAGTCTCGTCAATATTTTAACCTCGTGGAAACGTCTCACTTATGTGTCGTTTGATTTTTGAAAGTTAATCCGCGTTTGGTCATAATAGGATTGGAACGAATCCGGATATCCGAAAAATTTGACGGATCCGGATTCGTCGGATCCATGATTTTAATATTCGAATTCGGATTCGTGTCTTCCGGATATTCGAGATTCAGAAATCTATCTAGATATTGTAATATCCGCGGGTATCCGGATTCGTATCCGTAAAAAATTAAAAATAAAAAATAAAAAATCATTTTTTTTTTGAAAATAATACATAAATTAAATATTTATGCATAATTTATGAATATATATATATAAAATATAATATTATTAAAGTTAAGATAGAATATTATAAAATTATTTTATATATAAATATTAATATATCAGACATAATTAATGATAAAATAAAAATTTAATATATTTTAAAAAATACGGATCCGAATTCGGATATCCGGACCTAATAATTAAGATATCCGGATCCGGATACGGTTTGCACGGATCCAAGATTTTACTATCCGGATTTGGATTCGGCACCTCCAGATATCCTAATTTCAGAGCGGATCTGAATCGGATCTGGATCCCGGATAAAAGTTCCAGCCCTAGTTCACAACATGATTCTATTATAAAATCCTGATTTTTCACATTAAAGGTCTCAATGGTGACGGTGGATTTGATAAAATAAATGAGACGGAATTTAAGTGCAGTACGTTGCAACATCGGTTCATGCGGTTTGCGGAATAAATGCGATTTTGATTGAAAAAGCAATGCAGTTTTGATAGAAAAAGTAGAGCTATTTTGACAAAAAGTAATATATATAAACTAGGCGTTTTGCCCGTACTTGCGGTCATAATTCTCTTATGAATATTTATTAGTTTATGTTTCATTAATTTAAAAAGCAGAATAATAAGTTATTATTTATGTTTTCAAAAAGTAAAAATCAAACATCAAATAATTATCAATGACAAAGGAATATATTTAAATATAATATTATTATATTAATTTTAAATTTTATAATAGAAAAACTTATTTTCAAGATAACAATAATGCTTTATTATTTATTTTCTAAAAATATAATATGATAATTTTTAATTATATAATAATTATATAAAATTAAAGAAATTATGACATATAATTAAAATTACCTAAAATCATGGAGAACTTAATGACTCAGTAAATTCACTTCTTAAATAATTTTTCTTGAGTGATGATTTATATTTAATTAATAATAGATAATTTTTCTATTTTACTTTTAAATTATATAATATAAAAATATATTTTTAAGATAACAACATAATACATAAGAATTACCTTATTTTAAAAAATATAATATTATTAGTGTAAATTTATTTCAATTATAGAATAACTACAATTGTCTATAGCTTAATTTAAATTGCTAATAGAAAAATATATTTTCAAAACAGTACATTAATATATAAGAATTATCTTATGTTCTATGAATCTAATTTGTTTTAAATATATAATAAATTAAATATAAAATTATATAAATTATCAAAATTACCTAAAATCATGGAAAATATGACAAATTAGCAAATATCAAATTCACTTCTTAAATAATAGTATAGATTTTTTACATGTTAATTTTGAATTTTATAATAGAAAAATATATTTTCAAGATAAGAGCATAATACATAAGTTAATTTATTTTCTAAAATGTCATATTATTAATATAAATTATTTTTAATTATATAATCAATAATAAAAAATTATAAAAATTCTGATAAATGATCAAAATTACCTAGGATCATAGAGACAAATCAAAAAATTCACTTTTGAAATAATTGTTTTGATGATTTATATTTAATTATGATTTATATTTAATTTAAATAATATAATTTTTATATCTTAATTTTAAATTTTATAATAGGAAAATATATAACAAGGTAATACATAGTAATTATCTTATTTTCTAAAAATATTAAATTATTAATATAAATTCGTTTTAGTTATATTTAAATATTAAATTATTAATATAAATTCATTTTAGATAAATATAATAGTTTTATATCTTAATTTAAAATTTAACTGTATATAAAAATATATTTCAAGATAACAACATAACTCACAAGAATTATCTTATTTACTAAAAATATGATAAGAATAATCTTATTTACTACAAATATGATATATTCATATAAATTTGTTTTATTTATAAATAAAAAATATATAAATATTAAAAATATGATAAATATACAAAATTACCTAAATTTATGGAGAACATGACAACTAAGCAAAATTACTTCTTATATAATAGTATAGATATATTAAATATAATTTAAATCTATTTGCTGATTATGTTATAATAATTTTATATATTTGCATAATTTCAGATATTAATTTTTTATTTTAAATCAAAAATATTATATATAAATATAAATATATATATATTAATTGATTATGTTCTAATAATTTTATATATATTTATAATCAAATATTAAAATTTATTTTAAATAAAGTAATATATATATATATTATTTTATTTTTATAATTTTAAATATTATTTAACTACCATATATGTATTTAGTTGATTTAGCTACCATATATGTATTTAGAAAAAAGTAAATATCAATTTCTAAGTCAAGTAACAAAAATAATCAATCAATCTATACTATTATATAAGAAGTAAATTTGGTTAATTGTCAGCTTCTTCTTGATTTTAGGTAAATTTATTTATTTACCTTATTTAAATTATTTCATATACAATTTATTATTTAATAAAAACGAACATTTATTATTTAATAAAAACGAATTTCTATTAAATAATATTATATTTTAAAAAAGAAATATGTTGATTATTTTGTATTAAATTGTTATCTTAAAAATATATTTTTCTATTATAAAATTCAAGTGAATTTACTGATTGATATATATCTCTTATATATTAATTGCGAAGCATTACAACATGATTTCGTAGCCATGTGTCATCATGAGAATGCTTCTCAAATTTACTAGAAAAAAATGTTAGTCCATATAAACATATAATATATTTTTATTAAACTAAGCATAAAACTATTATTAATACTAATCATTATTTTCTTAAATAAAATTTATGGAATTACCTAATATGATTAAATAAATATATATATATAAATATATATATATATATATAAATTAATGATTTAAATATGAAAGATTTGATAAAAAATTTTATAGCCCTAACTCTTTTTGTTAAATTTATATTGTGAAAATAAATTAAATAGTAAAATTAGTTATATAACAAAAAATTAGATTTTTTTATGTATGTTATATTTTGATTTTTAAAAACGACTATAACTTAATAAAAAAATTTAAAAATTTCACATATAATATTTTTGATTAATAGTTTATTTTTATTGTTATAGCACGATACAAACAATTATATAATTAATGAGTAAGAAAACCATTAATAGATATTTGAATTAGATGTATATATATATATACATTTTTCAGTGATGTTTAAATTAAACTAAATACAATTTGAATATACATAAATATTTAATTCCAAAATTGCATTGAACAAGTATTGAGAACTTAATACTTTAATGACAAACATTGAATTTTTTTTTTAAACGTTGATAAATTACTGTAAATATTAAATCTTTCACATTAAAAATGATGTTATCAATATTTTAAAGTTTTTATTATAAAAATATAGAAATGATCATAAAATCATGTAAGTGTGAAAATTCATTTATTAGATATCTAAATTAAAGTATAATATATATATATATATAGATATGTTAATATCATTTCTTAATTAGATTTTACTAATTATATAAAGTGTTTTTAATAAACAAATATGATTATTTTATTTAAGCGCTCGCTAAATTAATTATATATATAATAGTTACAAGTTTTTTAATTATTCAATATATATTTATTATTTTATAATATATAAAAGAACACAAAATAAAGAATAATATATAAAATAATTTCTTATATATAATTCTCATCCCGCGCAATTGCGCGGATATTAACCTAGTTTTTTTTTAAAAAAGTTCAGTTACAAATCCAATAACGCATACAAAACCACAACATATTGGATGCCGGATGCAAGAAGTGCGTTTTCTTAAAAACATAGAACAAACAGAAAACCTTTTTTTTTTATTTAATTTTGGTCAAGTAAGTTATTGACAAAAAACTGTTCCGCAACTAAAACTAGTTATGAATGGCAACATCATTTCAATTCCACTCACAGTATATCGCACTCACGTTTCCAATCACAACCTTAATAATTTTATAAAACAAAGTTTTTTTTTCCAAACAATGAGGTGTTTTACTTGACTTAAAACTTGGAGTATAAAGTAGTAATCTATTTAGAATGATAGGTTTTGTCATTGTGTTAAATTCAAAATTTACTTCTGTCAATTTTCACTTTACACTTATTGTATATTTATGGTGCAATTAAATCGGTCTTGTTGTTTTCCCTTGTAGTCTTATTCCTGAATAAAAAATATTAAAGAATTATCGAGTTATTGTGGCCGTTGATTAAAACCGAGAAAGCAGCATCATCAGCAGAAAGAAATCTGAAAATCCGAGTATCAGCCAACCAGAGCGTCACGCCTTCTTTTCTCGACGACTCCTAACCAAAACTTGTCTCATTCTCCTCACTATCTTACAAAAACCCTAATTTTCTCCTTCACACTATTTCTTGTTTTCTCTGAAAATGGAAGACGAAGAAGGGATCGGCTTAGTTCTAGCCAGAGCCACCGAGCTCAGACTCAAGATCAGTGATTGTATCGATACCTCCACCCACCCCGTCACTGATGACGAGGGAGAAGCAAAGAAAGACAAGGATTTTGACTCAATCAGCTCTGAAGAGGAAGAAGCTGCACGTCTTCTATGTATACGCGATGCTCTCGAATCTCTCGAGTCCCAGCTTGCTGCTTTACAGGTTCGAAAACCCTAAATTCAATGTCTCTTTTTGTTTCAATTAGCCCAAAACCAGACCAATCTTGAAGATGGTTGTCGTGAACTCAAAGTTTCTGCCTTTTAGTGTAGTAGCATTGAACATTGAGTGTGTTTAGCTCTGAGTTTAACTAGGATTGAGTTTGAATTGGTTTCACTGTCTTTTTTTTTTTGTAACACTGGTTTCACTGTCTTAATTTTTAAGTTAATGTGGTAATTAAGATGGTATTTTGATTGGTTTTCTTGTAATAATAAAAACCAGAATCTACGTCAAAGACAGCAATATGAGAAGCAAGTGGCTCTCTCTGAGATTGATTACAGCAGGAAGATGTTGCTTGAGAAGCTCAATGAGTATAAAGGGAAAGAATTCGAAGTGCTACGCGAGGCTTCGACTTTTGCTGGTGAAAGAGTTGGTTATGAGAACGATCTTCTTCTTCCTCCTTACTCTGTTCATCCTCCTCTCTCCCTCGGTCTAGATAACAATGGATACTTACCTCATTTACCGTCCAAGAAGAAAAGTTCTGATGCAAACGGAGGACATGTGAGAAAAGAAACACAAGTGAAAAATCCCCACGGAGTTATTCGCTTCTTAGGCTCTGTTGTGAAGATCATGCTTCCAATCATTGGTGTGGTTTCTATCTTTTATGGTCCTGAGATCAAGAAGAGAGGCATGTCACTGAAGCTTCTGGGGTTTCTCCCGCAACGAGTAGTCGTAGCAAAGAACCAATGCCCAACAGGGAAAGTTCTTGTGGTTGAAGACGGTGAAGCAAGGTGTCTTGTGAAGGAAAGAGTCGAAATACCATTTGACTCCGTGGTGGCGAAACGATATGTGACTTATGGATACGGTTGAGTTGATAATACCCCTTCTCTGTAATCTTTAGTGTGTAAAGTTTTATCTCTTTAGATGTGAAGCAACATAGCTCCCCTCCCCCCAATGTTTTGTTCTTGCTTGTGATGATCCTCAGCAAATAATCTTTAGAAGAAAGAGAGAGATCCATTTGAATTTGCAGCTAGTATATCTGTTCTGATATTTGATCAGGTGCATATGCGGTTATTTGATAACCCTTTTTGACCCTTCTACTTCAGGTTCCATGCTCTCTCTCGTCTTAAATCCTCCAATTTTCATCATACTTTTTCTTTCAGTCGGACCACGACGCACATTCAAATCTGTTTTTTTTGTTACTTTACTTTTTTTCTACTGAGCCATAATTAACTCCTGTTAAATAAATTAAGATTTATATCCCTTGTGAAGTTGTGATACACTCTTCGATTTAAGTTATTTGTATAACAAAGGAATAATTTACAAGCTATAAAACTGTAGTAAATAAGAAAAGAAATACACATTCTTAACTTGACCTAGTTTTAACAAAATCCTGGGTCTGCCAATGCGTAATTGTCTCTCCTGATTCTGTTCTAAAAAGATTTATAATCATCTTTACAATCTGTACGATTGTATTTAAAATAAGTTACGTGGGTAAATTTTTAATAATTAGATATCGTCTACGCTTGATAAACAAGTAAAGTGGTTACGCGTAATTATCGTAAAATTTCTGTAATTAACAATAAGATGCGCTGGATGATGATCACTAAATATTGTCAGGAACAAATTTTTTTTTTTAAAATAAATTAACTGAAAATAGATAATAAGTATCGGGGGATAACGTAGAATATTTTTCCTAACCTTAGTTAGATTACACGTCTGTAAGATAATTACAAAAACTGTACGATATATATATTTTTTTTGAGCAACAACTGTACGATTGTATTTAAAATAAATTTTTTATACGATTCAAATTTATCTCAAAAAGTATTTTTTTTCCCTTTTGTTTTCTGTTTTGGATCAAAGAAGTAAAATCCTATATAAGGAAACTCATCCCGTACTGTTTTATTGAAGTCTTCTATCTTACAAACTCTAACAGCTCAGAAACGTTCCTGAATTATTCTTCTCTAAAAGTATATTTTGTGTGTTTAGAACTTCTGAATCATCTGTTAACTATTTGTTTGTTTTCTGCATTAGAGACTTTCTTGTTGGATAATATTCGTTAGGCTCTGTGGAATTTTCTGCACTTACTTTTGATTTGTGTGTGCTAACGAGAATTGCACTTACTTTTTATTGTTTCCAGATGTCCATGCAAATCATTATTAAGATTTTTAGAGGCAGGACCTTAACCCTTGAGGTAGAAAGCTCAGACACCACTTGCAAAGTCAAAGAAAAGATACAAGATAACGCTGGGATCCCTACATACCAGCAGAAGCTCCTCTTTGAGGACAAACTGCTTGAGGATTGCCGTACCTTGGCTACTTACAATATCCAAAACAACTCAACTCTCCACATGGTTCTCAAATTTAGAGGTATGAGAATCTTCATAAATAATCTTGAAGGCAATAATGCCCTAACCCTTGATGTCAAAAGATCGGACACCATTGACAACGTTAAGGCAAAGATACAAGCTAAGGAAGGTATCCCTAGCTACCAGCAGAAGCTTATTTTTGCGGGGAAAATTCTTGAGGATAACCGTACGTTGGCTAGTTACAATATCCAGAGAGAGTTAACTCTCCACTTGGTTCTCAAATTTAGAGGTATGCGAATCTTCGTAAGACTTCTTAACAAGACCATAACCCTTGAGGTCGAAAGCTCAGACACCGTTGGTAACGTTAAGGCAAAGATACAAGCTAAGGAAGGAATCCCTATAGAAAAGCAGAACCTTTTCTTTGCCGGGCGTCGTATGAAGGATGACTGTACCTTGGCTGATTACAACGTCCAAAAAGAGGAAAATATCCACGTGATTTTCAGGTTGGGAGGAAGTATGCAAATCTTTGTTAAGACTCTTAGAGGCAAAAGCTTCGAAACCATACCCCTTGAGGTCGAAAGCTTAGACACAATTGATCATGTCAAGGCCAAGATCCAAGACAGAGAGGGAATCCCTCAGCACCAGCAGATGTTGGTATTTGCCGGTAAACAGCTTGAAGATGGCCGTTTGGTAGATCACAACATCTGGAAGGAGTCAGTCCTTTACGTCTGTCGTTTAAGTGGTAGAATGCAAATATTAGTGAAAACACTCTATGATAAAGTCATTCTCTTAGAAGTTGATAGCTCAGACACGGTTTACAGTGTAAAGAAAAAGATTCAAGACAAGGAAGGAGTTACACCAGACCAGCAGAGACTCATATTTGCTGGTAGACAACTGAAGGATGGTAACAGCCTTGCAGATTATAACATCCAACATGACTCAACACTTCACATTGTCTTTTCCAATAATTAAATAGAGTTTTATCTATTCGTTTTTTTTTATTTATTATTATTGGTTTTTTTCTTTTTTTTTTTTTTTAAGAAAAAGTATTGGAGTTTTTCTTTTTCGTACGGACATAAACTCTAATTTGTTTTTCACTCATCTAATGATCACCTAATTAAGAATGATAACACAAAGTGGAAAAATCGAGATACCCCTAGGTAGGGAATCATCCTCGTGACATGAAGGAGCCTAAAACTCCGGCAATAACGGCGCTTGGATTGCCAAGCATCTCAGAGATGACAAACTACGTGGCCATTCTTTTGCGTTTGTTGATAATTAGTACGATGATGATGTTCAAGTGTGTTCTTTTAAGTCAGGCTCTTGCCTTCTATGCTCCACCAACATGGCAACATCCCACTAAAGGAGAAAATAGAAAGAATATAACATCCATGCAGAGCCGTGCGAGCACTAACAGCTGCCCAAACGATATATATATATATATATATATATATATATATATATATATATATATATATTTTTTTAAGTATGAAAATATGTCTTCAATTATAAAAGCTGTTGTAGTTCAGTGTAAAAAAAAGTTAAAAACCATAGAACAAATATTTTTTTGTCATCTAAAATATATTGAAAAAATCTTTGTATTTAACTATTTACATAGTTTATAAAAGCTGTTGTAGTCCATATTTTGTTTCATTGGTTTTTCCTACGCAGATGGTTTCTCCTTGGATGGGATCATAAAATATGCTAATTTAATATAAAAAAAAACTGATACCCTAGGCCATTTTTTTTTCATGTAAGCACGGCTCTGAATTCATGTGTCAATAAGAACTCTTTAGACGTTCTAATCTATAGATTAGTAATATATTTAGTGATTTGATATATTTAAAACTTTTGTTTATCTAATTTTTATTTTCCTTATCTAATGGTAGAATCTCATTGAGGTTCTTAAATTTTTTTTTTTTTAAGTAAAATTGTTGGATTTCATATTATAATAAACATGCATAACCAAAGCATATTAAAAATAAAAATACAAATTGTAAACGAGAAAAAATTGATTAGTTGAAATCGTGATTTGTCCCAAATTTCGGTCATATATTCTCAACCAAATCAGGTTTCAATTGTTGATGTATTGTTTTATCACGAATTCGATTTCAAATGCTCATCATATTACCGAGATTCCGATTCCGAATGCTCATCCTAAGACTGAATATAATTCCACATCATACAATACATGCTTTATTGCCTGAATATGATAGCAGCAAACAATACTAAAAGGGTACTCTTATTTATTTCATAACCTTTTGGCTCTAATTTTCTTTGTCATGCTTTATTGACTGAATATGATAGCTAAAATGATACAGAGAAATCTGAAAAAGGGAGTACTAGTACAAGGAGTTAGGGACTAGCTTTCAATACTAGTTCTTACGTAACGCTGTAAGAACGCTGCCATAAGTAAAACAAGTAGTTACGATGGACACAACACAAGTGACCAATAGTTGGTTGGGTTGCAAAGCCTAAGGTCGTACCTAAAAGGATATGTGTACTTAGGCGATTGTCTTAAGGTATCTGGATTTGTTTTGAAAACTTTGGGTTAGTCTTTTATGTGCACATTATGCCTTTTTTTTTGGTTTGGTTTAAGTTACTATTGATTGGCTATGCATGTTCTTGTTTGATTGTTGCACGGCCGGTCGAGTCAACTTGTACTTAGACCAGATCGGGGTGTCACAAAGGTGGTAGCAAAGAGACGGAAGCAAAGTGACATTCAAAAGCATATCCCGTCCAAAGTAACCGGCCATGGTAATAGTCACGTCAGCAATCACACGAGCGATCGTGCCTGCCTCCGTCGAAAGCAAACCTCCGTTTTAAGTCCCTCTCGATAGCCTCGACGACATAACCCTCGAAAGAAATGACAAGTTAACACCTGCCATAATCAAGAAAAGCTTCACAATCTTGAGGGGTTATACATAACACTATTATCATTGTTTTCTTTTTACCTTCAAGAACTTCTGCAGAGACAAACATGATGAGTCCGGAGCAAACTCGTATTGTGGCACAGTGTAGGGAACTAGGACACTGAAGCTGAATAGTATTCCGACACAAACCATAATCTCCGATACCAACAGAATTTGCCTGTTAAGAATTATGACTTCCGGGTAACTTGTAGCAAGAGAAATCATTAAAACAGGGGAGAGAAATTACTTACCGGTCTTCGAACATGTTGCTGATATAGTTTTCTTTTAAGCTGTTCCAGTGATCAGTTTTTCACGTTGGTCGAACTTCTTGACTTTTATAACTCCGAATAGAACTTGGAGGCTGAAGAAAGCACATAATGTGTATGTTATAGTAGCTGGTGTCTGACAGCATAGAAGGAACAAGAGAATGTTGATGACATTGAGCAGACAACGAGGTTAAAAGGAACAACATAATGTTGATGAGAATAACAACTTACTTTTAAAGAATTCAGATACAAAATCGTTGCGAGATTCACTAAATTTCCTTCCGCAACAGCCTGGAGGGAATATAAACCAACGTCAGCACATAAACATAACCAACTTATATCCATTTCGAAGTTTGTAAGAAAGATTCTTTTGTTTTAAGTTGTGTCAGATATGATTCAACTCACATATAAAAGAAGTAAAAAGGGAAAAGTTTTACTTACACTTCCAATTGTTTTCTGAACAGTTGCTACACTTTGAAATGTTCTCGCAGACTCCAGTGCTCGGACTCTAAGCTTCAAATCACCTTGCTCCTGGGGAAACATGCCTAAAAATAAGCACAAAGACAACTCATGTAATGTGCTACTTTTGTACAATCTATTCCTGAGGAAACATGCATAAAAATATAACATTACAGAATCTGCATCAATGTAACAATCCAATACCAAAAACCCCTAAAAGCTAGAAGCTTAGATCCTAAGCTTAAACAACCAATTGTACATACGACT